ATATAGGCGCGGGTCGGTAGTGATTCTAAAGCTGAAGAGCTTCCAAATGTAGCTTACGACCCGTAAGCTTATATAAATCTAATCTCCTAAGAAAACTAGAGTACAATTGTTTTGAGTGTACGCTCAATATTAGCTTACTATCAATATTAGTATATACTAAATATTAGTGTACTTCAATCGGTCTAAAATTAGATTATTAGGAGTATACTTATCACTAGAGTACGCTTATCACTAGAGTACGCTTATTACTAGAGTACGCTTATCACTAGAGTACACTTAATATTAGCTTACTATTAATATCAGTGTACACCGAATATTAGTGTACTTTAATCAGTCTAAAATTAGATTGATAGGAGTACGCTTATCACTAGAGTAAGCTTAATATTAGATTACTATTAATATTAGTGTACACCGAATATTAGTGTACTTTAATCAGTCTAAAATTAGACTATTAGGGGTACGCCCATCACTAGAGTATACTCGTCATATCCTCTTAATGTCGGCGTACACTTATCTATATCTGTCAAACTCTAAAATTTACTTAATGTACTAGTGAATAGGGGACTATGTTCTCAGCCTATGTACCCGTGGACAGAAAAATAGCTAGTACAGTGGTTGAGTGATTATACATCGATAAAAACCTTATTCCAGTAAGAATATAAATAACTCTCTGGTCCTGGCCTTGAACCGATCAGTCATAGCGCAGATCCAGACCACGGGACATCACCTATGAGTAAATTCCTTCGCTTTCAGAACTCCAGTATATTAGTTTAAGAAAAATACATCTATAAAACTAGTCGCCATAGTTACAAAAACGGAATTTTGATGACTTCTTTATAGCTGAATTAAAGCAAAATTAATTAAGCTTGAAGTGTCGATATATATAGGTTGTCAGGAAGAGGTCCACAGCCCCTTAGTGATCGCCCAAAAAGACTAAGAATCCTATCATTTCATGATAGATCTTGGACCTCTTAGCTTATATACTTATCATTCATAACATAGGTAGTGTAAGGTAAGTAGGGACAGTAGTTATTATTATTATATATATAGCCTTATATCTATATCATCTGAATTTCTAGGCCACCACAACTCAAATTAAAATGTCTACCTCCTGGTTAGGGACACTGCCGATATATGGTGTATTCACGCCTATTGGTGTTTTTCTATTTACCATTTCAATACTTATTTTAGCCTGCGGCTGGGTAATCCACCGGCGGAGCGAATGGCTTGCATCAATAGAAGTTATACACTCTACTATATCTACGGACGAAGATAGCGAGGCCGATGATTAAGAATCTTATATACAAATGGGTTGGCTAAAATTCTAGTACTCATAGTGAGGGATATCATACAGTCTACTCTGATCTTTAACCGTTAACCTATGTCTCAGGTAAATCCGAAGAGTATGAAAGGACTGGGTAGATTTTGTGAAGGTTAGGACCCGGGAAGAAGATCGATTCTACTAGACCGGCGTCAAGTGCCTAAGGCAACTACAATCAGAAGAAATAGTGTACAGAAGGGGTAGTACACGCAAGAAGCGCTATATATCAAGTTCAATCTTCGTTTCTCCAGCGACTCCCTTCTTCCTTAAACCCAGGGCCTTTAAGCACTAGCTACTTCTATCTTAGGAGAGGTTAGACCACACTAATAATTTCAATAGTAGAGATACTGTAAGTAATTTCTATAAGATACAAAATAAGATCAGTAGGGGGGTTTATACTAGTGAGCACCTAGAAAATTGGACATTGGAATGTGAACGTTTGGATAGACTTCCTTCTGCAAAGTAGGGTAGCCTAGTGTCATGAACGGGGTTCTGACAAGTATAAATACTAAGGAGCCTAAGTTCCGGCCATGAAATGGCGGAATTCTCAGTCTTTTTGGGCGATCCCCAAGGGGTTGAGGCTCCCTCCCTAACACCTAGGCATAAAGGGGTACTTCAGTTGAGATAATATCTAAACTATTAATTTAGCCTAGTCTATTAGGTGTGAAAGTAGTAGTCCTATCTAAATAGGATGCTAATCTGCGTGAGTACGTAGCGATAGTAACAGAAAAGGAATAGAAGGTCTCTGGTATGACTAACACTGGATTACTTAGAGACTACTTTCATCGCAAAAACCCTCTAGAGTCATATGACTGATAGACTCGCTATCTCTCTCGCCGATCACAATAGTATATAAGTATAGAAAATTTATCGCTATTTTTAATAGAGAGTTATGAGAAAGAAATATCCCATCTCAAATACGGGCTTAGCTTAGTGCTAAACCTTTTGGCTCCACCGCTCCCTTAGGTTCCGCTCTTTTATTACTATTTAGAGTACACTAGTATACTATTTATATTAAGAAATACTAAATTGGGGCAGACCTATATCAGAGTCTAACTATACCCTAGTTTTATTGTAGATTGCTTTCTATACTTAGATGAGATTAATATTTAGTTTATTAAATTATCTTAGGTTTTTATTTCTATTTGGCCCCTCACTTTTAATTACTTACTTATACCGATTCGAGTCCTTCTTGAAACGTTATCTTTTAAAATCTAATATCAAACCTATTTTTTTCCTCCTCAAACCTTTTAGCTATACTTCAAGGTTAGTATTGGAGATTAAAGAAGCGGTTTCAAGACTACAAAATATTCGCCCAAAAATCGCGAACAAACAAACGTTATGATTGTAGCAATAGCTGTAACCACGCTCATATCTAGTATTACCCAAGTAATGGGAGCTCCAACCGTCGCTGTTTTCATAACTAGTATAATTACACTAATAGCTAGTGGGTCACTCTTACGACACTCTATACGCCATCTCGTTAACTGGGCCCGGGTGATCATTAGTGACTTAGACCTGTCATATTTGGAAGCTGGCCCTATTCGGGTATGTTTACTACATGTTTTTCTTATATACTAACTAATGGTATAAGGACGAGCCTAGAGTTGATCTTTTCCGTTGTTGCCTTAGCTACTGGCAAAATATCGGTGGCTCAGACTGCAGTTATCGGCTCAATCTTGTCTAGTACACTTTTAGTACTAGGTCTTTGCTACCTGTCATGAATAACAAGTATATAAGCTAAGAGGTCCAAGATCTGTTATGAAATGACAGGATTCTTAGTCTTTTTGGGCGATCCCCAAGGGGCTGTGGACCTCTTCCTGACACTACCTCGCCGCTACCTGAGATAGTGATATGGAGGATTTTCCTCAGGACGTAATATTAACTATTTCTCGCCTTCTTTTGATCGCTCTCGGTAGTCTTGTAACCGGTTTTAGCGGGGCAGATTTACACGTCAAATTTGGTAGATCTAAGGATGCGCTTCGTCCTACAACAGCTTTATCCTACTAGTACAAATGATGGTAGGTCTTTCTTGGGGGGCAAGGTTATTTTGTAAATCAAGAAATTGATACAACCCAGTTGCGTGTCTCTCTTCCTCTCCCTCCCCCTCTCTATGTGTGTGGGTGCGTATGTTGTTCGTATCTCTCATCATGGGACATATAAGATTTGTTTTATGCTTGTCGGCATGACGCTCTCGATGGCCAGCCGCTCCGATCGCTGTACGATCCTGAAATCAAGATGGAGGCACCGCGCAGTATCTTTCATCGAGAATACTATGATACCCTAGCCGTCGATCCATATAGGAAGGGCAACTGTATCATTTGAAAATTCGACGATCACCGTTGTCCGTTATAGGCTCAATATACCTAGCGTAGCGATGATAACGTCCTGTTCTCGGCGAGTGTGGAGACCTAGGCTACCGGTAGGTATAGCAAGTCGAATAGTAAGATAGTAGCTTAAGTGTGCCGCTAGCGTAATATAGTAGTTAACTAGCTCATTAGAGAAGAGTAAGAGAGGAGGCGGATAACCTCCTTCTAAATAGCTACTAGTCTACTCCGCACCTCGTACAGCGGTAGATTAAAGTCCGACCCTCGATGGTCTTGGCAGGTGCATCTAGGGACACGTATGGCCCTCGCCCTGTGTCCCGTGATGCGTAATGTGGTGGTAATGGAGGCGATGAATTGTCTTCCTGAGGGAGTTACCGCGGGGCACCTCTCGAGAAAACTAGGTAACAACGCCAAGACCATGAGGTAGTTAAATTGAAGGTATTTCTCCCACAAGACGTAGCTTTTCATTTATCGAAAACATAAAAGTTCTCAGTCAGATATCATAGTCCCGTTCCGATGGATTCTATTGTCGTGCTAGAGAGTGTGGATGGACGGAGATTTATAGTCTATAAGTACTAGTCGTCCTGCACAATGAGCCCCGCTAATTCCGAGAGAAGCAAAGAAGGCTGCCCGGCGATCGGAATATATCTTCGACGTCAGTTATGACCTTCCGGATGATAACATTATCCTGATTCCTCAAGTTGAGGGTGCGATACCCTCAGAAATCATCAAATGGATTGAACATCACTGTGCTAATGGGACGGGCGAGTACGAGTTGGATAACTGGGACCGGTCCTTTCTCAGAAGGAATCACTTGAAGATTGTTGATATTGTGATGGTTTTCTATCGCCTATCTTACTCTACTAAACGATGCACTAACCCAGAGGCAGGGTGCTGACGTCCTCGCAATTCCATCCCTACTCAGCGCCTGCTGTCAGGATTTAGCTTTCAAGATCGATATTATTGAAGACGGTATCGACTCCTCCGGAGAACCTCTGAAACGGATTGACTTAGGGATAGAAGGTCCGAGCTGCCCTATCTTGGATAATATCCTCGTTTTTGTATCCGAGAAAGTCTTCCGGTTCCTGAACGAGACCCAATTGTTTCCACTGAATGTCACCCACTATCAGAGACGACTGAGGCGAATGTTTCACGGTTATGTGCCTACCTTGCCCAATGACTTAGAAGTGTGCAGAAACCTTTACTTCAGCTCACAACAGGCTGTCGAAGCTACTCGTATCAACGTTGAAAGAGAGAATGGTGTTTTGATGCCTGGAGACGCCTTTTACTCCTATTCACCGGACGGATACTTCCTTATCGCATGCGGGCATCTGGGGACACGAGTTTAGAATATGGGGCACGTTCCCCCGAAAACCGTTGTTGAATTCGAAATCAGCCCAGGTACTGCATTTGACCAAGGGAATCGCCTCGTCCCTGACGCCAGCTACGGTATCATGTCTTGGGAGATTGCGGACAAAGACGTGACGAAGCTACGGGAGACCGTGTCAGCAGAAGGATCTCTCCTATACAGCTTTCTGAAATGTTCTCTTATTGTGAAAAATTCCGGAGAAACCTTCCTACTCGGTAACCAAAATCTGTCCACCTCAATGACGCATCCATTTGGACTACTTCAAGAAGTGGCATTGAGCTCCTCGGGTGATGCTCTTGTGACGAACCATGATAATATCGTTAAAACATGGGATATGACAATAGGGACACCTTAACGGCGCTCTGAAAGGCACCTCTAGAATCCACATACTATGAGTGTCCTAGTTTCTTGCGATAGTGGAATCGCAGGGGCAATATCAGCCTTGGCCGTCGAGCTATGGGGATTTAATAGCGCTACCTCTAAGGGGTTGATCATCTCAAATGGCGGCATAATTTATCCTTGCTTCACTTCCGGAGCTATCTCGCCCGACTTACGATTTCTTCTTTGCGGTATGGAGAATAGGACGTGCCAGCTTATGATCCTGGGTACCTATCTATCGGAAGTTAAGGGTTCATATTATATAACAGCCCTTGGGGGAGGCTCGAGGATTGAGTCTATCGCTTGGTCTCTAGATGGACGCTTCGCAGTCGTAGGACACCATGGCGGTGCGACATTAGTTGACATTGGCTTGCTCCAAAGATCATGTCTAGTCAGATATACGGTCCCTTCGGCCCACGAAGTTCCACGTGTTTTCCCAATATTTAGGATATAGTTTCGAGGTGGAGGATCGGACATCACCACCAGAAAGTAACTGATTGGGAAAGTTCCGCTGGGTGGCGGGAGCACACTACCGATGACCGGTCCATCGAGAGCTCGTAGATGGAGAGCTATCCTCAGATAAGTATACTTGTATGAATTATCAACTAGAATTACCCATATGGAAAGATCCTATAATAAGTCTACCCACCTATACCTACGTAGGTAGCCCTCCGAACAGTAAATAAATTTTGAATAGTAAAGTCTGTGCAAAATTTGATTTATTTATGCTTGATTCGCCGAACATTGACATACTGATTATAGTAGGCCGTCCTATAGTTTCTAATGAGGTCCGACAAGTCAGAATTTAGCCAACGTAGACTAGTGATTCCAAACCAGAAGGATATATATAATGTCACTAGACTCTCCCTAACCCTCGGTTATCCTTTTTGGTGTAGTCAGAACATACTAGATCATTCTCATCCACTTTCTTGTTTCTCTAGTGAAATCTTTCTAGGCCCTTCTTCATAGTAGTATTAAATGGTGGTTTATAGTACTATATTTCCAGGTGAGTGTAAAGTTGTCTAGAGTCGAATTGAAATCGCCATGGCCTAGGCTATATTATTTCCCTGCCAAAGGCTCTAATGGCCATATCCATCTATTTTCTTATGATATTAGATTTAACTGTAGTAGATATTTATAGTTACTAAAAAAGGAATCGTACGGTGAAAAGGCCTTAATTACCTATATTGATAGCAAAAGCTTATAACTGTCTACAAATATAGCCCCGTGCTTGGAAAGTCCTCGTTCTCTCCCTCCTACCGTATCAGATGATTGATATCAAATTCAACTTTCCGCCCGTGAAGCGAACCGTTGGCATAATGGTGATCCCACTTAACAGTCCGAATGTCCAAGATATTGTCTTCTAGCCGCCAATTCTGAAAACAAAACCACCCCAAAGCGGACCGGCCAAGAGCCCGCTAGCAAGTCACAAGGAATAGAAAGAATATGCCTAAGTAATAGCCCCTCTAGATCCAAAAGCTCCCGGATGAACTCGTATATGAGATTCTACCGTGAATGTAATCTCTACTATCAATCGTGGTGTTGTAAGGCTTGTCGTCGTACTAAGCATCGCGAGGAAAATGCATAGGAGAACGATTTGTCCAACTCCACTATAGGTGATAAGCCTCATAAGGATCCAGATCGGACATCCCAAAATAAACGCCGAAGCCGCTATCCACTTAGGACTATATCTATCCGTTATTTTTCCAATCCACGGAGCTAGGAAAGTCGGTAATATAATAGGAATAAAGATAAGTCCTACTCCCTGTGCTCCCTAAGAGAATGTATTTCGCATAAATAGCGGAAGCACAGCGTCTAAAGACGTAATTATTGTTGCCTGTGAAAAAGTAGCCTATAGCGCGACTTGAAGACGAGGGTTTCGAAGTAACCGTAGTGCTGGTGATATAGTCTGAGTTAAATTCGCCCACTACGTGTCTCTCTTAATAGAGTCCCCCATTTCGCCGTATTTTTTGAATAACTAAATCTCGCTCTCAAGCTAGAGAGGCTCTAGGTGAGGGATATCTTCCTGGATGGGCGACGGCATAATACTGGGGGTTCTATTATTTCCGAATGCGATGGTCCAGTATTTATAATTTTGATATTCCAACTACGGCGCGGCTACGCTCCGCTCAATTAGAGCCAGCCGCTATACTATATCTAGAGATAAGGGGCCAAAAGTCACGGCGAAAACCGAATGGTATCCGCTTTGTTCGAGTAATAATCCACCGATAATAGGGGCAAAAAGGAGAGCTAGGTTTATCCCGAGGCTGCAAATTCCCACTGTCTTTCCCACCTCGGTTTCTTCTACCGTCTCGACTGCTAAGGTAAAACCTACAGTCCATGTTAAGGCGCTGGACACTCCTTGTAGAATGCGGCCCAGCATCAAGATACTGATAGAAGAGCCGATATAGAGGAGGACCGTGGTACCGCTTAACGTAAGTAGAGTAATTACGAAGGTTATGCGGCGGGATGTGAAGTAATCCGTTAGGTATCCTGCAAGAGGAGAAGTAAGAAGCCACGTCCCTACGTAATAAGCTAGGAGCGTTGAACTCCAGATTCCCACTGGTCGTGCTTATTAGATAGGGTTTTAATTCGAGGAACGGGGACATAATATTACCATTTTGGGTAGCAACACTAGCGCGTTAAGACAACGCAAATGGGAGGACAGGCACAACCTAGCAGATTATGAGATCTTTCAATCCATTCATACTTGGGGCGTAGTTTCTCACTATACTATATAGAAAGCAATCGGTAAATATGGTAAGAGTGTAAGAACTGACTATAAATGCCTTGGATAAGCGGACTTTGAGATAAACTGGCTTGGCCGATAGGCTTTTAGATATACTAGTTCTCCGGAAGCGCTGAATGAAGTTCATATATAGCTTATAGGGCATCTTACTTTTAGTGGGAGTATAGAAGAGGGGAAAAATCAGTATCCAGTACGCACAATTTCGTATGTTGAGTTCAAATATCAATAGGGGAGACGATATTAATAACGAAGTGGACAATCTACCCTATAAAGGCAACTTCATGCGTATAAAGCGGACTTCCACGAAACCCCATTAAAGCTAATCATTTTATCAAGTCATAAGGGATCAAGTCTCACTACAGCTGAGCATTTTGCTTACACCCCTTGATCGGCTATATGTACTTACTTCGCAAGCTTAATTACGGAATCTAATTTTCTCACGGAACACTTATATGGATACGGCGCTAATTTGCCCCTCTTTTTAAGTATTTAACATAACTCTACCTATACTTTTTCTTACCTCCTCTCTATCGCGGCTTTTACCGAGATAGGGACAGTAAATAGCCATGAATCTAAGCCAGCTTGATCAGTACGAAGTTTCATAATGGACTGCCTTTGTCTCTTATCTTCCATCTGCCTCCTCTCTCCCACCCCAATTCCAGAAAGTGGAGGAGCTTATTGTTAATCCACTATTACACGAAGCGATCTCGACATTAAGAATACGAACGAAGGTCAAGGAGCTTCCACTATATTACTAGTACGACTTTGCGGTTCTATCAACTACCGAAAAAAAACGGCTGATGGTAATCCTAACCTTTGTCGCACACGGATATATCTGGGGTAACGGTCTCGGGTCCCCAATGGACACACTCCCAAAACAGATTACTCAGCCTTTAAGCTATCTAGGTAAGGAACTAGGCATAGTACCCCTAGGGACCTATACGTCTACAGTACTTTGGAACTCCCGCCGAAAAGATCCCGCTAGAGGGTGGTCGTTGGACAATATATCAGTTGATTTAACATTTACGGGCACCGAGGACGAGTCATGGTTCTATAAAGTCAGGTATGCTAGCGTGTATCTCAACCCCATCCTCCAAATATTATACTGAACATCATCTCCTAGTGTTTGTGTGGAAGCCGCTGGAGCGCAAGCGCTCTGGAGTCTTCTGAGCATCCTCCTCGAAATTCGCCAGTCAAAGCCTGACCTGGACTTAATTCAGAGACATTTTCAAAAAACTCTAGCTTCCCTTAACGAAGTCTTAGTAACACTATTAAAGACTGGAAAGATTAATTCGGAGGCATTCTATTGGGATATATATGACGGCAGGGCACATGTGAAATGGAGAAGACTCCAAGGATATTTATTCCTATATAACGAGAGACTAAACTGAGGGAAAGAAGAAAGGAAGGAAGGAAGGAAAGGGTGCGGCGCCACACTTTTATATAGCGACTACTCTTATCAAGGCCCTGGTATGCCAAGCCGCTCTTCCTATATAACCAATCAGAGACACACGCTTGTCCCGTATCTCGTCCGGGATAACGTCGGCCCGTTACGGTTCGTCCTTACTTAGCGCGGTGTTGACCGGTATGGGACATGTCGTCGAGTCAGGTCAGATCTGGCTAGATCTGGTCAGATCTGGTCTGTCTGTGCTCACGGCCGTGACAATATACGCACATACTTTGCCGGATCACAGCTTGTTCTGCCGCGAGGAGTGCATTACGCCGGAGTCGATGAAGATTCCGTCTATCGAAGCTATGTGGGTATCTCTACAGCCCAGTCATCCTTATTCCAGGCGTATGACATTATTTTCGACATCTCGCATATTGAACCTGGAGCAACCTATCTGCGCAAAATGCGCGAGTATATGCCGTCTCCCCACGCTAGATTTCTCGACGATTTGAAAGCCAATTTTTCCGGCACTCTTAGGGCTTTTATCATTAATCACGAAGAACTTAGGGATATATATAACTAATGTCTTCGGACTCTGGCAAAATTTCGCCCTAACTATAGGGGTTTAGTACAGAGGTACGCAGTACAAGAAGCTTCTCGTCCGAACAAGCGGGCTTTTGGGTTGGCCAAGCCGACGACAGCTAGCGGTGGAGTACAAGGTGCCGGAGGTACTCCTATTGAGTTATTTTTAAAATCAACGTGGGAATCGACGGAAAAAGCTAAGGTTATGAAGAGTCGATTGTAGAATAGTTTGTTCAATGGATCGAGTACCGTAAACTACAGTACTTTGAGAAAGAAGAAGGGAACTAACTTACTTACATTTTATAAAGAGGATTTACTAGAGCTTCATACTAATCAACTTCCTTTCACTTTCTCAAAGCTAGCGGGTGAATTAATTTCAACCTAGACAAATATATCTACGAATGGATAGATCGTCTCCGGTATCAACACCCAGAATATAATCGCCTTACTCCAAAAATGAGTATATAAATCCAGTTCTCTACTATATTAAGTATCGCCAGATGAGAACCCCGCACGCGGCTAGAGTCCTGAGATAATGAGTAATCCTTTACTAGATCTCTAATGAATGACCCTTAAGGTTAAAGTAGAAAGTCGTAAAGACCTTCCAAAATATCCTAGCCTATTATGATCTCAAAAACCCGATAGGATCACCGAAGTGATGAAATAATAATGCCCGATAAGGAAACTATATTAACCTATAGAAATTTATTACTCAGATTTGAACTTCATAGTATATTCTTACAGGAGCTTGACCGATAAGCACCGCCCTACTGTCAGAGCGCCCTCGGGTGTGCTCTGTAGATGAAGAGTCCGG